TTTTTAGAATAATTTGCTCAGCATACAGACTGAATAGACATGGACATTCTCGGCATCTGTGAGATGAGATGGACTGGCTTTGGCCACTATAAATCAACAACCACATGGTATATTATGCCGGGAAATGAAAACAGAGTAGGAATGGTGGTGTAATCATAATTAAAAAGACAATTTCAAGTTCTAATCTGAAATATAATATTGTGAGTGATAGCATATTGTTTATAGGTATACAAGGAAGATCCATTAACATGACTATTATTCAAATATATGTACCAACAGCTAAAGCCAAAGAGGGGAAAACTGAAGATTTTTATAAAGTTTTGCAGTCTGAAATTGAACAAAAATGCAACCAAAATGTATTAATGATAATTGGTGACTGAAATGCAAAAGTGGGAAATAACGAAGAAGAAAAAGTAGTTGGAAAGTACAGACCGGGTGACCGAAATGAGGCAGGAAATAGAATCATAGAATTTTGTACAGTCAATGACTTATTCATCGCAAATTCCTTTTATAAGAAACACAAATGACGACTTTACACATAGATCTTACCAGATGGACTACAAAGGAATCAGACTGTATCTGTGGAAGAAATTATTGGAGAAGCTCAATATGAGCAATCAAACAAGGCCAGGTGCTGACTATGGAACAGACCACACATGTGCATGTTCAAACTGAGCCTGAAGAAAATGAAAACAAGTTCATGAGAACCAGAATACAATCTTTAGTCTAACCCACCTGAATTTATAAGTTTCCTAAGTTTGAAGCACTGAACACCAATGATGACGACCAGATGAGTAGTGGGATGGCATCAAGGATATATACCCTGAAGAAAGCTAAAAGGCACTACAAAGAAAGGGGAGCATATAAAAACTAAAATGAATGTCAAAAGAAACCCTGAAAATTGCACTAGAGAATTGAGAAGTCAAAACAAAGGGAAGAGATGTTGAAGTAAAAAGCTAAACAGATGATTTAAATAGCAGATAAAGAAGACAGAACAAATCATTACAACAAAATATGCAGAGTCTCTATGATGGGTACGGAGAAAGGATACAACCCTAAAGCACAACTTCTCTGATTTTAAACAACGCAGTGCTCCCTTGCTCCGTTCAAATGACTGCTTCTTGGTCTATATATAGCATAAATAAGTGTTTCAGGATTCTCATTCTTTTCAATATTATTCATAATTTGTTATGATCCACAAAGTCAAATGCCTTTGCACAGTCAATAAAACACAAGTAAACATCTTTCTGGTATTTCTGCACTCAGCCAAGATCCATCTGACAGCACCAACGACATTCCTTATTTCATGACCTCTTCTGACACCAGCTTGAATTTTTGACAGTTCCATGACAGTGTATTTTTCCATTTTTTAATAATCTTCAGTAATATTTTACTTGTAGTAATACTGATATTGTTTGATAATTTCCACAATCTGTTGAATCATCTTGTTTTCTGAATGACAGCCAATATAGATCTCTTCAAGTCAGTTGTACAGGTAGCTGTCTGTCAAATTTCTTGGTATAAGCAAAAGAGTACTAAAGACATCAGAATATAAACATAAAAGATACGAGCAATAACTCTTAAACTCAAGAGCTTTAAAAAAAAAACAAACAAGCAAGGAAGCAATTCAAACACTGATGGAAGGAAAAAACTGAATCAAATCAAATAAACAGAGCAAAAGAACACACAACCATCAACAATACAGTACAACCATCTTGGTGTGGGAACAAAGGAAGGTGGCAGAGGAGGCTGCATTTAGATTAGGCAGCACATAGTCCAAAACCAGAATAACAGAAAAAATTAGTATGCCATAAAGCAAAGATGACACACAAATTTTAAGCATTCTACATATGTATGCTTGTGTGTGTTGTTATCGTTGTTTTAACCCAAGAATAAAACTTAGTGACAGCTTAAGGATGACAGAAGAATTGATGCCTTTGAGTTGTGATGTTGAAGAAGAACACTAAATATCCTATGGAGAGCCAATAAAACAAATGGATATGTCTTGGGGAAAGTGCAGCCAGAGTACTCCTTTGAGGCAAGAATGGAGAAACTTTGTCTTACATATTTTAGGCATGTTGCTAGAAGAGGCTATTCCTTGCAAAAGCGTATCATGCTTGGAAAGGTGGAAGATCAGTGAAAGAGGAAAACCCTCAACAAGAGGGATTGACACAGTGACTGTAGTGATGGGCTCAAGTATGTCAGAAACTGTGACAGTGGCACAGGATGGGACATGGTTCAGATCTGTTTTTCATAGGGTTACTACGAGCCGAACTCAACTCAGTGGCACCTAACAACAACAATAACGCTCAGAGGTAGGAAGGAATTGGAAAGAAGAATAAAATAAAACAGGAAACACAGGAAGAAATGGAAGGAATGCTATTACCATATAGGGATTGTAATCAATATCACAAAACATAATGCATATGAATAGCTGAAGGGAAAAATCATTTGCTTTGTAAACTTACACTTAAATCACAAAGAAAAGTTAATTAAAAATAAAAGATGAAAGCCAAGAAAATCCTTTTGTACAGTTCCACTCTATCACATAGGTTGCAGTGAGTCAAAATTGACTTGAAGGCACCCAACCACAGCAATATAACAAAAACATTCATTAAAACTAATTTTAAGTGTTTCCAGGATAGTGACAAATGCTCTAAAATGCACTCACTAAATATGCAAAAAGGTAGAAGTACTTCCCTGTAAAATATAAAATCTCACCAGTAAGATTTAGTTCATCTAAAACAATTACGAGATACTGTCTCATCCCAGTAACAATAGCAAAATTCAACAGAACAGTAAACTACAAATGCTGGTAAGGTTGTAGAGAAACTGGAACCCTTATTCACTGTTGGTAGGAGTGTAAAATGATGCAACCACTATAGAAGGCAGTATGGTACTTTCTTAAAAGGTTGCAAATAGAAATACCATTTGACCTAGGAAATCCACTACTGGGAATATATCCTGAAGAAACCAGAATTGCCACCCAGATAGATATATGCACACCCATGTTTATTGCTGCATTGCTCATAATAGCAAAGAGATAGAAAAACCTCAAGTGCTTGTCCATCAACAAACGAATGGATAGAGAAGCTGTGGGTATATTCACACAATGGAATATTAGGTAGCACTGAAAAACAAGAACTCATTAATACTATACAAAATGGGTGACCCTGGAGGACATTATACTGAATGGAATATCTCAGTTGCAAAAGGACAAATACTGCAAAGGGGTTGGGGGAAACTAAAGAAAAAAGGGGATAAATAATGTACATTGCATTGAAACAGATGAGGAATAGAACTGCTTCAAAGGAATACATGATTGGGTATTGTTTGCATGACAACAGTCCAGAATAAGAGTTGCTTAGTAAAGTGGACTGGGGGTGGGGTGTGGATTGTACAACAGTGAAAGAATTTTTTTTCAAAGAGAAAGCGAACTAGGGGGGATGTGGGCAGGAAGTAAAACGTGCAACAGTGAATGAATGGAAATCCAAGTTCTCTATAAATTTTCATTAAAATCTCAATTAAAAAAAAGATTTAGTTCATCAGTTAATTTTACTATTTAAATATCAATTACTACCTTTATAACTTCTATAAATTGTACCTAAATTCTTGATAAGTTAATGTTTAATGTTAAATTCAATACATACCAAAAAATGAAATTTTTAAATTATTTCTTTTTCACGGTGATTCAGTTCTGAGTGAAAATTTAATCTATAATTAACTGTATTTAGAAATACCTACCATAATATCTGAAGATGGGTTCTTCCTAAATTGATCTCTTGCCAGAATTAGTTGGTATTTTGTAAAGCTGAGGATATCTCTGCTCATCAAAACATTCTTCTGAATCAAAGGACTGGTAAATGCTTCCAAAATCTAAAAATTTTAAAGTGGGTTAAATATTTTTAATAAAAGGTTTTTTAAGTTTGGTTTGTTTAAAATATTTTTTTCATTGTTGCACATTTTCTCCCCACCCACCCCCAGACCACTCTTCAATTCACCACTTATTTCAGACTGTTGTCACACATATAATGCCTAATCATATATTCCTTTTGGACAATTCTTCCCCTCATCTGCTGTACTGCAGTGTCCATTAGTCATTTCATTCTCTCCCTGTCTCCTCCATGTCTGTCCTATATAATAGCAGTGTTAGGCAGTGTTTGTCCTTTTGTGACTGAGATATTTCACTCAGCATAATGTCCTCCAGGCTTCCCCATGTTGTTAATGTTTTACAAGTTCATTGTTTTTCAATGTTGCATAATATTCCAGTACATGAATGTACCATAGTTGCTTCCATCTCTTTGCTACTGTGAAGAACACAGCAATAAAAATGAGTGTGTATGTATCTGTGTGAATCATGGTTCTGGTATTTTTAAGGTATATTCCCAGTAGCACAAGAGCTAGGTCATATGGTACCTATATTTCCAACTTTTTGATAAAGCACCAGACTGCTTTCCATAGTGGCTATACCATTTTACATTCCCACCAGACATGAATAAGAGTTCTAATCTCTCCACAACCTCACCAACATTTGTTATTTGCTGCCCTGTTGAACTTTGCAATTGTTTTGAAATAAAAGTTGTTTTTTGGTTTGGTTTTGTTTGATTAAATAAAAGGTTTTTTAAAAGTACTTTTTCAAATACAATCATTTCTTTATATAGAAGCTGTAATGGAAAAACTTGTCTTAAATATTTTAAATAAACAAAGCAAAGATAAAATTTTTTAAAACTTGACATCTACTCTAGATAAAATCCACAGAAGAGTCTTTATAAGCTATTATTGGATCCAGCTATAATTCAGAAACACATTTGTTTACTTTGTTACCTCCCTCCTCTCATCTATCCCTCCTTTCCCATTGTCCCCAGAAACATGACTGCAATGTAAGCACCATGAAAGGAGTGTCTTTGGTATCTTCATAGGCATTCAAGGACAGTGTGCTGCATGCACCTCAGCATCCAGAATTGAGTCATAAGATTTCAGTAAAAATTTGTAGATGGTTAAGTAAATCAAAATTATTGATTATATTTACTTTTATATTTGCATCACTCTTTCAACAAATATTTACTGTTCATTACAGATCAAGCACTGTCCTAAATGATAGTTAAAACTAGTACGCTGTTGTTAGAAAAAAGAAGTGAGCAAATAGTATCAATGGGGAGCTCTGGTGGCCTAGTGGCAAGAAGGTGCACACTGCACCCAGAGGTGCGCAATTCAAATCCACCAGATGCTCTGCTGGAGAAGGAGGGGCAATCTCCTCCTGTATCAGTAAGATCTGATTTGACGGTACACAAAATAATAATTTTTTTTT